GCCGCACTGGTAGGATGTGAGGAGCGTGGGTATGGTACGAGCCGCACGAATACGATCCGAATCAAGCTGGTACAGTATGAACCGAACAGGTGCGGTATAAGTACTGCGAGTACGGTACGAGCATGGCCTGTAAAATTGGAGTCGAGATGGTAAAACCAGTGGCTAGTGGATACGCACTGCTGCGGCGCCTCTAGTCGGATTTGTGTTGACTCCGTGGCTTTGCTGTTACCTACGCCGCCCATAATCTTAGTGTCTTTCTGCATTTTTTTTGGGTCCTGTTACTTCCCCTTCCCCTTGTCTCTCGCCGTTCCCCCCCTCGGTGCGCGGCAACGCCCAAGTGGCTGTTCCCGCCGGAGCCGGAGAAATACACGGGGCCAAAGCTCAAGGTGGTTGTCGTGGGCGCGGGGCTGGCCGGCATGTCCACCTCCGCCGAACTGCTCGACCAGGGCCACGAGGTGAGCTGATGAAATGTGGCGCAAATGAAAGACTGAACCGAATACGCGGAACGGCGGCTGTGCTTGTGGCTCGTTAAACTATTAGAATGCCGCATCTGGTGGTGTGATATCGCTGTAGCGTGACGATCTTTCTCATTCAAGTTTCTCGAATCGGTTTCTCACGCTAATAGAACCTTCCACATGCCATGCTCGGGCATGTGCCGGATGTGCGTGTGGATTTCGCGTGCATGGGGGATGTGAATTAGTGGGGGGTGCATGGGGGATGTGCGTTCGTGGGGGTGTGTGCGGTGCGTGTGTGGGGAGGGAGCGTGGGTGCGAGCAGGTGGACATTTACGAGGCGCGGCCATTCATAGGCGGCAAGGTGGCGAGGTTTCAAGACAAGGACGGCAACCACATCAAGATAGGGCTGCACGTCTCCTTCGCCTGCTACAACAACCTCTTCCGCCTCATGGCCAAGGCAAGCGCAACCCCATTCACCTCTTGGCCAAGGCAAGCGCAACCCCTCTCGGCTCATGGCTGAAACGCTTGTCACCATAACAAACGAACGAAAGTCATTCATATGTATGCCCCTCCCGTGGTCCGTGGCATGCGCAGAGCGGGCGGTGGACAACCTACTGCACAAGGAGCAGACACGCGTCTTCATTAACAAGGGCGGTGCCACTGGCGGTAACCCCCGTGCCCGCCGCCCACCCTTGCCATCACCCACGTTAGTTTGCACTGGAACTGCTGTTTTGGGGCACCACACGCGCCTTCTTTCTCCTCTCTCCATCCAGCTGGTTCTTTATTTAATACTCGTTATCTCAGTCTCTCACCGTCCTGCCCCCATCTCGCTCCCCCTCCCTACACATCCGTGTGGCATGGCATGGCATGGCATGTTATGGCTTGCACAGAGCTGGACATCAGGTACATCACGGGCGTACCCTTCCACGGGCTCAAGGCATTGTTCACCACCAATCAGCTCTCGGTCAGCCTCGATCTCACGCCTCTGTATTGCCACGCCTTTCTCTCTGCACGACACCTGAAAGAAGGTTGGCTCTGAGACGTCTGAAAACCACCCTTCTTTCACGTGACAACCAGCTCTCGGTCAGCCTTGCTCTCACACCCCTGTATTACCACAACTTTCTCTCTGCACAACACGCGGAATGCTGCTGGTCATCCTGAAACACACCCTTGGATACTACATTAAAGCATCTACGGAAGGTGTTCAATCCTACGGAAAAACAAATTCTATATGAAGCTATCGAAGAGCGACTTCGCCCTGAAGAAGGTGCAGTTCCTCGCGCACATGGTGAGTGCCGAGGGCGTACACGTGGATCTGCGGAAGATCGAAGCCGTCAAGAAGTGGAAAGTACTGGAGAACGTGAAGGAGTTGCAACAGTTCCTAGGCTTCACCAACTACTACGCTAAGATAGCAGTGCCACTGACTGACCTACTGAAAAAGGATACGCCCTATAAGTAGAATTCTCCTCATCAGCAAGCCATGGAGCAGCTACAGACAGTACTGACTACAGCGCCAGTACTCATCCTACCGGATCCAGACAAGGACTACGTAGTGCAAGACGCTAGTGACCAAGCGGTCGGAGCTGATGCAGGATCACGGACGCGGTTTGCAGCCCATTGCCTACCTCAGAAAGAAGCTACACGGAGCAGAACTGAACTACCCCATCCATGCCAAGGAAGCCTTAGCGATAGTCATAGCCTTCAAGGCGTGGAGGTGTTACCTAGAGGGAGCCAAGACTACATTCTATACTGACCACTGCAGCCTCAAATACCTGAATTCGCAGCTGACGCTCTCACAACGACAGGTGCGGTGGGTGGACTTCCTGGAAACTCACTTCCACTACGACATCGTCTACAAGCCCGGGCTACACAACAAAGCAGATGCGTTGAGCCGCCCCGAACATGTAGCAGACATCCAGCTCGACGGGATGAACCCTCTACTCAAGGGTCTATTCCTGCATGGGTAGTCCGTGAACGCAGAGATCGCTATAGCAGAAAAATAGAAGTTATTATAGTGGGAGAAGGACTTAGTTGTAATAAAGGGATCAGGAATGATTTGGGTACCAAACTATGCCCTGCTCTGACATATCTTACTGGAGGAGTTCCACGATGTCGCATACGTGGGACATTTCGGGAGCAACAAGACGTTAGTGGGAATAGCAAAGTATTACCACTGACCCCGGATGGCAGCAGACGTGCAGCAGTTCGTCACCTCTTGCGACACGTGCCAGCGGATGAAAAGTAGCAAGCAGAAAAAAGCAGGGTTCCTTCAACCTCTACCAGTACCGGAGCAGTCACGGCAAGTTGTCAACCTAGACTTCATCACTGGGCTACCTTCGACCTCACGAGGGCATGACGCTATACTCGTGGTGATCGACAAGTTCTCTAAGATGGGACACTTCATCCCGACCAACGCCACGGCTACAGCTGAAGCAACTGCTCGCCTCTTCTTCGACTGCATCATCACCATCCGCGGCATACCTGCAACACTCATCTCGGAAAGGGACCCAAAGTTCACTAGTAATTTCTGGAGGGAACTCATGGGTTTGTTAGGGACAAAGCTTGCGATGTCTTCAGCGTACCACCCCCAGACTGGCGGACAAACTGAGCGACTCAATCAGGTGATTGAACAGTTACTGCGCACAGTTTCCTGGGATCAGCCACTGGGATCTACAATTACCGACGCTAGAGTCTGCTTACAACAACACTTCACATGCGGCCACAGGAAAATCACCTTTGTTTCTGTGCTACAGACGGGAACCACTTACACCACAGCAGCCAACTACACCGGCACACGTCCAAGCCGCATACAACTTCGTCACCACCATGCAGCAGCTATGGGAGAAGACTCAGCGACGTCTTTCCACGATGCAGAACTCCCAGAAGCAGTATGCCGATCGACAGCGACGAGATCACCTCAGTAGCAGTTGGAGATCAGGTTCTTCTTGACACACGCAACTTGGACTTGTCCCACCTTCCGTCCAAGCTCCGGCCTCGCTTCTGTGGTCCCTTTCGCGTTGAGGCACAGGTGACACCAGTAACATTCCGCTTGCGCTTACCTACTACTTGGAATCTTCACAATGCTTTCTATGTTCAGTTGCTGAAGCCCTACAAGGACCCCAACCAGCAGTTCACCGGACGACAGCTACCGCCACCACCACCTGTAATCGTACAGGATGAACCAGAGTACGAGGTGGAACGAGTGCTTGCTCATCGACGCAGACGTGGCAACACGCTCGAGTTTCTGATACGCTGGAAGGGATATGACTCGTCGGAGGACAGTTAAATAGCAGAAGTTGATATGGGCAACGCATGCCATGCTCTCAAGGATTATCTTGTCAAGCAGGGTGTATATCACGCCACCCAGCTTTGAGGGGGGGACGTGTGAGAGTATGACGGCTTTGCTTGACTTTACTTGCTTAATTCTGCTTCATTACGCATCATCTAGCTTAGCTTTATTTTATCTTGTATGCTTTTACTTGATTTCCTAGGTTCGTTGCTTTTACTCTAGTTATTATAGTTATAGGCACTGAACTAGGTTGAGTGCACCAAATTCTAGGCTTTTCTGTTGTCACCAGATTGCCTTTTACCGAATTCGGGAAGGACCCGTTCGGGACGCTTCGCGACCCACAAAACCTTCTAGTAACACCTGGGTTACTGCCTTTGTGTTGAGCCTATATATAGCCTTGCCTTGTACCCATGTGAAGCATTCAATAGAGTTATCTTTCCTGAACCAGATCCTCACACCCATCCCCAACTTCTTCCTCGATGACTCCTACACCAAACAAGTACGCCCCCTCCCTATAGCCGCCTGTCCCCCCGCTCCCCCCTCTGTGTCCCATTCCATTCGTGGCTCCATCGCTACCCATCCTTATGTCTGTAATCTACCAGATTCCCTTCACATCCACCTGTCACATCCTCCTCTAAAACCCCCCCTCTCACATCCCCCTTGCATCATCCTCTCACAACCACCTCCCTCCACCACCCTCCTTCCAGTCTTCCCCCTGGCAGTACTACATCGACAGCATGGAGGGCTCCACGCTGTCAGGCAGGAAGGCAGCAGCACGCACTTGTGAAGCGGGGGTGGCCATCAGTGCACTTGCCTCCCAGCAAAGAGCAGCTGCCCCTACTGCTGCCGCCTGACATTGCCTAGTCTCCAATGCCTTGTTTGTAACCACATGATTAGTGGTAGAGATTATTGTACTGCTTGTGCTTGTGCTTCTGGTGCTTGTAAGTATTTGTGGCACTTTCGCACACAAGCTTGTCCGTACATGGATTCCCTTACCCAGCAAAGCAGTCGTCTCACAAGGGCTGAAGGACTAGAATGAAATATACTGACTCGCATTTGATGCAGTGTTTACCAATAGAGATTCCTTCTCTGTAAGGCGCGCAAGCTCTACTACACTTGACATTCGCACACTTCACCATTGTACAATATTTTGTATCCACCCTGTAACGAGGATACTTGCGTGCGAGGTGAATTTGCCCCAATATTGCGGCGTCCTCCGCCCCGATCGTTCCGATCGTTACAATCATTCCGCCGCGATGTTGGGCTCCGCCCATCCCGCCCATCGCGCTGTCGTCCTGCGCCGCCCAGCTACCTCCGCCGTCCTGTCCGCCGTTTTCGCCCGGGCCACCCTCCCACCGTCATCGGCCCCTGTCGCGCGCTCCCCATCTTCTCCCAACGTGCCCACACCATGCGCGCCTCCGTCCCAGATTGCCCACCGCCCGCCTCCGCTTGACCGGGGTGATCGGGGGGGGGTGGTTGGGGGGCCAGGCGGGGACGTATGCCGCGGGTTGCCCCACCCGCACTTGCCGCTCCGCAGCGTCATCCGCGAAGGATAGCTGCTCTCCGCGGCTTGGCGCGTAGGCAGCGAGAGCCGGTGGCGGGGCTTAGTGGTGGGCGCACGGGTGACGGAGAGGGTGGTGGAGTCGCCAGGCGCTGGAGCGCGCGCAGCAGTAATGGGGGAGAGCAGGGGAGAGGGGGAGGAGAGGTGGCGCGGTGAAGGGGTGGCAGTGGGTGGGGCGGAGAGGGAGGTGGGGGGCGAGGGTGGAGCGAATGAGCAAGTGCTGTAACGGATCCATTAACGAAAGGGGCATTTACCCTTTTATCAATAGGTTGTATTGCAAATAGAGAGTAGCAGCTCCTGGAAATTACTAAGTCTGAAGAGTGCTAGGAGATGCAGTAACAAACTCTGGAAGGTGAGTTGATGTGAGAAGAATCCTATTTCCCAATTGATTAGTTGGGGATAGGAAGTGGAGAATGAGCCAAGAGGCTTCAGACCCCTTCCTACAACCCCCTGGGGTGCAAACCACCTTCCCCATGGCAAGAAATGGTGCACCTCGATGGGCCTTGCCCATGTGGCAATGATTGGGGTTCCCAACCAATTAGACAATAGACAGCAAGGACAACAATGCACACTTATCACAAACCTGAGTTGTTGCATTGGTTGCAATTTCAAGGAATAGCAGAGTTGAGTTGGATTTAGGTTGGCTGTTTCTGATTGGTTCTATTTCCAACCAGAGGCGGAAATTCCGTCGACTCACTTTGTGTGAGTATGCTCTGATTGTTTGGACAAGGGTGATGTTTGAACTTACGAGGGTTGTTTTCAAACCTATCGCATAAGTTCTGTCACAATTGTATAGCAGAGTTCTGTTGGCTAGTTTTCCAATCAAGTCAATTCCAAATTCCTCAATTCCAATCAAACTCCAACCAATCATGTTTCTCCCCTTGTTTCCCCCTCACAGCTGGTTCGACGTATCGAGACCAGGTGGGTGGGTCGAGATGTTACAAGTGCTGTTCGTACGTGCCCCTCGTCCTCCGCCCCCCCTTCATGCATCATGCGCTGCTGCATGCATCATGCGCCACAGCATGCATCATGTGCATGCATCATGCGCCACTGCATGCATCATGCGCCGCTACATGCATCATGCGCCACTGCTTGCCTAAGATCGTATTAATCCAGTTGCTTGCCTCCGTGCGCCTGTGTGTCCGCACACTCTACACCATGCACGTCTATGACCTCATTCTGCCTCCTCACGATCACTCTCATGCGCTCGCAAACCGTGCCTCACAACAAGCGTATATCAATCCATATCGCACATGCATGATCATACTCCTTCTCCTCTGTCTCACCGCTCGCCTCACCTGGCCTCCTCTCCTCTCTCCTCTCTACCCCTCTCCATCTCCCGTCCTATCCCGCTCTGTGTCGTGTCCCCACCAGGACCCCCCAGCCCTTCCGGCAGCGTTTGAGGGAGTGCAGCGGTGGGTGGTGTTCTCGGACCTCCACGTGTCGCGCCGCAACGCCGAGCTGTGTGCCGCGCTGCTCACCCACGTGCACCAGCTCACCAAAGACAGGTGCGTAAGGCAATGTAGGCGGTTGAGTTGAGTTGAAAGCAGAGAAGAATTTGGATGAGTGTGGGTACAGTTACCTGCAGAGTATCAAATTTGGCATTCGTTTGTGAAAATATCACAGCCTTGAGTCTCAATGGCATGGCATGGTATGGCATAACATGGCATGGTATGGCATGGCATGGCATGGTATGACATGACGTGGCACGGTATCATTGGTATGGCATGGCAGGGCAGCGGGAGTGGTGTGTCTGGGCGACTTCTGGCCTGTGAGGGGGTCGCTGCCAGCGAAGGCACTCAACCCTGTCATGCAAGCCATGGGACCCGCCGAGTAGAGTCAACCCACCCTCATGATCCCCGGCAACCACGACCAGATGACACTGCATCGCCACTGCCATGCTGCTACTTTCTTCATTCGCTTTGCTCCTTTCCGCCTCCTGCCTTCCTCCGTGCCTTCATCCTTAGCCATTCCCTCACTCCCCTCCCTTCCCCTCTCCCGGGATGCACATACGCCGCTCTCGCCCCCTCGTCCCTCTCCTCCCGGCCAGGTGTCAGTGGACGGCACACAGCACGCGCTGGCAGTGCTGGCGCGCATCAACCGGCACATCGTGGTCCTCTCGTGCCCCACCGTGCTGCTCGCCGCCCTCTGGCTGCCCTTCCGCCACCACGCCCCTCTCCTCACCGCCGCCATGCACCAAGCGCTGCACGCCCCCCCCACCTTCCGTCCCCCCCCTATCTGCGCCATGTTCATGCACGCCGACGTGGAGGGGGCGCGGCGCAGCAGCATGGAGGGCGCCATTACTCTCCTAGGCGAAGGGTTGGGCCCGCTGCTGCTGCCCCCCGGCCTGCCAGTGTACTGGGGCCACCTGCACCTGCCGCACACCGTGGCCAGGGGCTAGTGCACTGTGCACTACGTGGGGTCATGCGTGCAGCACATCTTTGGGGAGGCGGGGCAGAGCAAGCGCGCACTGGTGCTGCGGGGTGGCACGTTGGAGCATGTGGAGAATATTCCTCTGGACGTGGGGCCGCGCCACTTCATCATCCCCGCCGCCTCTGCTTCAGCCTCACAGCCGGGTGAAGGGGAAGGGGAATCGGAGTGGCAGGCAGGCGAGGGGTGGCAGCAAGCGGTGGTGCTGCTGCGGGCAGGCGACCTGGTGCGATGGGAGGTGCTGGGAGGGGCGGGCACCAAGGAGACCAGAGAAGAACTGGTGAGCTGATCTCAGGCCTCGTACCGCCGGGCACATGCTGCCACATGGCATCGTTGAGCTCTGTACCGCTGCTGCTGCCACATGTCATGCATCAGAGGGCGCTCAAACTGTCATGCTCCACCCCGGCCGTGCCCTCGCCGTATCCTTCCTCCTCCCCCCCCCCCCCCCCACGCCACCCAGCCCTGCAGGCATCCCTACGTGCCACAGGTGCGTTGGTGCAGACGGTGGCATCACAGGCGCTCTCCCACCCGCCGCGCATCCTGCAGGCCGACACACTGGTGGGTGGTGCACGTGCATGCATATGGGGAGACACTCTGGTAGGTGGTGGGTTGGGGAGGGGGGTGAGTGCGGGTTGACACAGGGGTTTGTGGGCTGGGTGAGGCAGAGAAAGTGGGTATGGGAGCGAGGCACGCACCGCCATCATGAGGGGGGAGACTTGCACCTGCCTGTCGATTTCTCTTCCTTACATCTCTGCAACTTCACTTCTTCTCCCATTCCATCTACAGCAAAGACCCCCTTCCCCCTCGTCCCGCAGGAGCCCTTGTAGGTGTTTGCCAGCTATGCCACGGCTGCCCATCTGCCCCCACCTGTCCTGTCTGCCACCCAAGACAGGACCTGGATGTGTCGCCCAGAATCATATACAGCACTAGTGGTGAGGCTCTTGGGGTCAGGGGGATGGGGAGCACAACTTTCTCCCTCGTCATCCACTTTTAACTTTCCTTCGCCCTCTGCACTTCCTTCCACCCCTCCTTGTTGGTCGTTGGAGTCGTCGTTCTTCTTTGCACCGCGTCCAGCACCACCTCGTCCTCTACCACGTCAACTCCCTTGCATCCCGTAGCCGCTGCTGCCGTCGTCTCCACCCCTCAGTTGGCGGCGACGGAAGTCCTCCTCCAGAATCTTTGTCCGCACCCACTCGAGTGTCCACAAGCTCTGGTTCTGCGGCAGGCTCAATCCGCTCGTGAATTGAAGCCACGATTCCGGCAGCAGCGAGAGCATCTTCAAGCACTTGGTCTGCTCCGGGTAGATAATTCCCGCGGTCGCCAACTTCGCGTACAGATCCCGCATCTTGTCCAGGACAGGTTGCACCGGCTCTCCCTCGCTCAGGCGCAACGCGGACAGCTCCCTCTCCAGCATCAATGTTGCGACAACGGAGGTCGGGGCGTGCAGCTTCTTCAACACGGTCCACGCCTTCGGACCGCACTCAACCTCCGGCAGCAGGTGCATGCCGTGGTGACGCTGGTTCAGCTCCAAAATATGCGACATCAAATAGTAGCCAGCCGAGGAGCGCTCGTCCCAATCTTCCTGCAGTGTGGGGTCACTCGGTCTAGGCTCCTCCCCAATAATTAGTTTCAGCAAACTGATCTGTCGGAAATATAGTTGCATTTTCCAGGCCCAATTATCATAGCCCTCACCATTGAACTTCTCGACGGTGAAGTTCTTCAGCACCTCCTTGACCAGCGAGCCCTGGTTTGTTCGCGCTCCCTTTGGCGCTTAAACACCAGAATCTTGGCTGCCGCTACGATCTTGGGCTGAAGATTCACCAGCTCCCGTCGATGTGTTGCCCGCCATAGCTACCTATAACGAGGATCACTATAACGCAGCTCTGATACCAGCTTGTTGGTGTAAGGGCCTAATAAACTCAAGCTACTAAGACTTTATCAAACTTGAAACCTCTCCTCGGGGTCACCTCCAAAGGTTCTTGGGTGCCTGGTCAAGACCCTCCCCTATCCTCGGGTCCGTGTTTGTAGAGAGAGGAGTCAAGAATGACTTAGCCAAAATAACAAGAGTGCCTTCAACGTCGCGCAGCGTATCGTGCAGACCGTCGATCGGATTAAACTGAGAATTTCCTATATCGAAGCTCGCTCCAAGAGCTTTAAAATAAGCCAAGTTGCCTCGCGAAAAGTTCTGCCACTACGGAGTTATGGCTCAGACAGGCGTTTGCCTAGCGTTGTAGTGCTAGCGTATTAGCGCTGACTTGGGTAGCATTCCGTCGTCGCACCGGAGTCAAGCGTGAAGGTGAGGGAGGCCGAAGCCGACGCAGTACCTGAGAGCGCAGCCTGACCAGTACCTGAGAGTGCAGACGCACTGGCACCTAGAGCAGCAGCCGCAGAAGTACCTGGCGCAGCAGTACCAATGCCCGGGTCGGGCGGGAAACACCGGTAACAGTCGCCCTCCTCACTAATAGTCACAGCATACATGGCAGCAAGGATAGCATCAAAGTCAAGATCAAAGATAGCTACGCCAGCCCTAGACAGCTCTCCCCAACGGGGAATCTCACTGGCCTCGGGGAACTGCTGACGCCAAGCGTCCGTCAGGCGGCCAAAGCAGCGCTGGGTGGGGTGGGCACCCCCACACTGCTCACCCGCGCGGTCGCCGGAACGAAGGACGTAGGTGCACGGACCAAAACCCCCACCCCGCTGACGCTGCGTGTACCACTCACGGAGCTGCTGGGGCGGGGGGATGTCCCGCGAACGCTGCTGCTGCTGCTGCTGACGCTGGCCACCACCAGAGCCGCTACGCTGCGGGGCACCACCCCGACCAGCTCCACCCCCTCTGCCACCGCCGCCTCCACCTCCACCACCACCGCTGCCTCCGCTCCCACCGCTGCCGCCACCACCGCCTCCTCCTCCGCTGCTGCCACCGCCACCACCGCCCCCGCCACCACTCCCACCGCCACCCCCACTCCCTCCGCCGCCTCCACCGCCACCTCCACCGCCCCCGCCAGTTCCACCCGCGCCCTTGCCCCCCTTGCCCCTGCCAGGGCGGCGTCTCCCGCTAGGGGCAGACGCCGCGCAGACCGACTCAAGACCAAGCAGGTCGGCAGCAGCAGCAGAGGCAACAGAGGGCAGCAGGGGGGAAGGAGAACACCCCTCAAAGATGGGGGTGCGAGGGTCACCACGAGAGGCTCCTACAGCGACGATGCTCTTCTCCGCCGCAAGGAGGGACTTCTCGAGGAGGTCGACAGTGAGAGTGGTGGGACAGACTGAGAGGAAGTGGTCCCTGACTACGCGAAGGGAGTCAGGGAGGCGTGTGACTATGTAATAGAGAGTGATGTACATGGGGGGGGGGTTCTTGGCGCAGAACTCAGCAGGAAGGGCGGCGCGGTAGCGAGTGTCACTAGTGCGGAGGTGCGTAATGAGGTCAGCGACAGTGGGAAAGGCAGCAAGGTCAGGAAAGAGGTACGGTAGCATGAGGCGGCTCAGGGCAGCAGTGGCAGGGGAAGAGTAGCGCGCAACTACAGCGTCGTACAAGGTCTGAGCACTCTTGTACTGACTAAAGTGCGCGCGCTCAGTGGTAGGCAGGTGGCGACGCACAGCAAGACGTGCAGCAGCATCGCGGGTGGCCCACTGAGAGCGAACAGTGGGGTCAGCATCAGCAGCAGGGGCAGGAGAGGCGCCAGAGGTGAGGTCAAAGAGGGAAAGACCGTCCGCCCTATCGCACTGTAAGAACAGCTGCAGGTCGTCGACCCAGACCTCAAAGTCAATGGCTCGACCCTCAGCGTCAAAAGCGAGGACACTAGGGGTAGCCATGACGACGACAGTGTAGTAGTGCAAGCAGTAGGGGAAGGGCACGCAGTAACAGTGGTGCTGTGCTCACCAGGCAGGGCAGGTCGGGCGGCTCGGCAGTAGGGCGGCCCGGCAGCTGGGCGGCTCGGCGGCTCGGCTGCTGGGCGGCTCGGCTCCCGGGCGGCTCGGCGGCAGGGCGGCTCGACGGCAGGGCGGCTCGGCGGCAGGGCGGCTCGGCGGCTCGGCGGCTCGGCTCCCGGGCGGCTCGGCGGCAGGGCGGCTCGGCGACAGGGCGGCTCGGCTCCCGGGCGGCTCGGCTGCAGGGCGGCTCGACGGCTGGGCGGCTCGGCTGCTCTGCTGCTGGGCGGCTCGGCTGCGCTGCTGCTGGGCGGCTCGGCCGCTGTAGAGGAGTGGCGGGGCCGCTGCAGAGAAGGTCGGCGGGGCCGGTTGATAGGGCGGCGGGGCCGCTGATGGGGCGGCGGGGCCGCGAGGAAGGGCGGCGGGGCCGCGAGATAGGGCGGCGGGGCCGCGCGATGGGGCGGCGGGGCCGCGAGGAAGGGCGGCGGGGCCGCTAGATAGGGCGGCGGGGCCGCGCGATGGGGCGGCGGGGCCTCGCGATGGGGCGGCGGGGCCTCGCGATGGGGCGGCGAGGCCGCGAGGTAGGGCGGCGGGGCCGCGCAATGGGGCGGCGAGGCCGCGAGTAAGGGCGGCGGGGCCGCTAGGTAGGGCGGCGGGGCCGCGCAATAGGGCGGCGAGGCCGCGAGGTAGGGCGGCGGGGCCGCTAGGTAGGGCGGCGGGGCCGCTAGGAGAGAGGCGGCGGGGCCGCGAAGACGAGTGGCGGGGCCGCTAGGAGACGGGCGGCGGGGCCGCTGAGACGAGTGGCGGGGCCGCAGTGAAGGGCCGCTAGGGCGGCTCGACGAAGTGAGGGCCCGGAGCGCGACTCGGGCTGAGCGTGCTTCGGGCAGGAAAAAAAAATCGATGTGGTGGGCCCTAAGCACAGTTCCCAAGAGGGAACCTGCTCGATACCATGAGAAGATTTGAACAAGAATGAATGAACTATGAATGAAGTGAGTACATATAGGAAACCCTAATTGGGTTGTACCCCCTATGGGATACCCCACTATAGCCTACACAACAGCATAAGCTATATATATGTTCTGACAATGCCTTCTACCAAATTCGAGAAAGACTCGTTCGGGACGCTTAGCGACCACGGAACCTTTTAGTAACATCGGGTGAATCATACAATAGATTTTTTTTTCCTGAACCAGGTCCTCACACTTGGTAAGCAGAGAGGGTTTACATGCGAGGTATTCAACCGCTTTAACCTGCCTTAAAAAACGGCCAAGGCGACGATGAAAGCGCCGATACGGGTATATAAAACCATTTTCGCACAATTTTTCTAAGTCCCCCTCGATCTGGTTTTCGAGCACCCTCCAGGATTATTGGCAAAAAAGTTGGAATTTCAACCGTCGGGTCGATTCGAATCTCAACGGCTCAGAGAATTCCGCCCAGAAAGTTGGAATTTGGAGCTTCGGATCGAATTTCTCCTCAACGGCCGAGATCGGACGTGAATTTCGAGTAAGGGGGAATTTCGCGACGTACAGAATTGCGCTCGTCGATTCTACAGTCATTTCGACTCGTAGTAAGTCGACCAGCACCTACAATTCATTTAGTTCCATCGCACATCTTCCTGTAAATCGCCAAATGGAGGAAAATAGAGATAATTCTATACGGAAAATCGCAGAGTTACGTGCCGAGAAATAGCAGATATCTGTGGCGCTCCTACGACTCGAAAAACTCCTTGCAAACTAGTCGGCAGCCGCCACAGCAGCAGCGTATGCAGCAGC